AAGAAATTAACACTGAAATAAAAGAAATTCATAGAAACCAATGATAAAGGGTACATGAGTTTCCATAATTTATGAGACACAGCAAAAGCAGTCATAAGAGGTAAATACATAACAATCAGTGCACATAAGAAAAAAGATGGAAAAATGGTGAATGTACAACCTAACATCATGCTTCAGAGAATTAAAAAACAACAAAAGCTAAAAAAAAGGAAAAATGTTAGGAGATAAAAAATAATAGATTCAAGCAGCAAGAAATGAAATAGAAAATAAACTATACAAAAAATAAATGTAAAAAATAACCTGATTCTATAAAAAAGATAAATAAGATTGACATACAATTTAGCTAGAAAGTTTAAGAAGAGAGAAAAGAATGAGATAAATCAAATTTGCAATGAAACAGGCAGTATTACAATAGACATACAAAATATAATTAGAGGATACTATGAGCAACTATATGCCAACAAACAAGAGAACCTGGATGATATGGACAAATTCCTAGACACATGCAATCGACTGAGATTGAATCAGGAGAATGTAGAAAGCCTGAATAGACACATAACAAGCAATGAGATGAAATCAGTAATAAATAACTTCCCAATAAGAAAGAGTCCAGGTCCTGATGACTTGACTTTTGAACTTTACAAAACTTTAAACAAGAGTTAACACTTATTCTACTCAAAATATTTTAAAAGATCCTAAAGGAAGGAATTCTCCCAAATTCATTTTATAAAGCCTCCATCACTCTCATTCCCAAAACAGATAAAGACATGACAAACAAACAAACAAACAAAAACTACAGACCAATTTCTCTGATGAATATAGAAGCAAGCATTGTCAAGATACTAGCAAAGCTTATCCAACAACATGTGAAAAAGATTATCCATCATGACCAGGTAGGCCTTATTCCAGGGATGTAGGGGTAGTTTAACATATGCAAAACAATAAAACATCCACCACAAAGAATGATAAGAATCATATGATCATTTCGATCAATGCAGAAAAAGCATTCAACAAAATACTACAACACTTCATAATTAAGATGTTTAGCAAAATCTGCTAAATACAATAAAAGCCACTTATGAAATACCTATGGCTAACATTATACTGAATGCAGAAAAGCTAAAAGTTTTAACAATAAAAAATGGTACGAGACTCAGTTGCCTACTTTCTCCACTTCATTTCAATATAGTGCTGAAAGTCCTAGCCAATGTAATTAAAAGAGAGAATAAAATAGAAGGCATCCGAATAGATTAACAGTATCTTTATTTGCAGATGACATTGTGGTATACACAGAAGGTCTAAATCTATCCACAAAAAGAGTCTCGAAATAATAAATGAATAAAGTGACAGGATACAGAATTAACATCCAAAAATCTATAACACTTCTGTTTTAAAATTTAAATTTTATTTCAAGTACTTTCATACATTCAATCACGTTATTTAATTGCAAAGTGAATGTTACAACATGTGTACATTTCTCCCCAGTCCAGTTTATAATAATATAAAGTTATCCTCAACAGATTATACACCATTTCTTTGTCCCATTAATGCTTTGCCTTTATTTTTCTCCTTAATGTCCTTCTTCAGACTCTACTTCTTCACCCACCCTCTTCCCTATATATGAACAAGCTGACTGAGGTAGTTCTGAAAAAAGTAATCCCTTTTACATAGCCAGAAAACTTATAAGATACCGAGAGATCAACCTAACCAAGGAAGTCAAATACCTTTAAAGGAAAAACTAGAAAAAATTTTAAAAAGATATTGAAAATGACACAAAAAAGTGGAAAGAAATCCCATGATCCTGGATTGGAAGTGTGCATATAAGCAAAATGCAATTCTACCCAAATTTAATCTACATATTTAATGCAATTCCAATCAAATTACCAGAGACATTCTTCACAGATCTAGAAAAGATAATAATAAAATTTGTCTAAAATCATAAAAGACTTTGTATTGCCTAAGAAATTCTATGAAAGAAGAATAAGTGGGTGACCTCTCACTCCCTGACCCCCAAATATATTATAAAGTGGTAATAACCAAAATGACATGGTATTGACAAAAAAAAAAGACAGGTGGACCAATGGAACAAGATAGAGACCTCAGAAATCATTCCCAATACATATAGCCAGCTGATCTTTGACAAAGGATACCAGTCAATCCAGGGAAAAAGGAAAACCTCTTTAGTAAATGGTGCTGGAAAAACTGGGTATCCACTTGCAGAAAGATGAAACTGAACCCCCATCTTTCACCATTAACAACAGTCAACTCAAAATGGCTTAAGAGCTAAACGTAAGACCTCAAACTACAAAACTACTGGTGGAAAACACTGGAAAAACTCTGGGAGACATTGGGATACATAAATGCTTCTTCACCAAGACCCCAAAGCAAAAGCAATAATCCTATAAAAAGACAAGTGTGATTACATTAGATTAAGAAGTAAAAGACACATTAAATAGTGTGAATCAACAATCCGCAGAATGGGAGAATATTTTTGTAAACTATGCCTCAGATAAGGGACCGATAACCAGAATACACAGGGAACTCAAGTGGCTTACCTGAAAACAACAACAACAAAACAATTAAAAGATAGGCAAAGGAGCTGAATCAAAAACTCTCTAATAAAGACATGCAAATAGTCAAAACATATACAAAAAAAATTCAACATCCTTCATCATAAGGGAGATGAAGATTAAAACCACAATGAGATATCATCCAACCCGTCAGAATGGCGAAGATTAAAAATACATAAAGTAAGTGTTGGTGGGGTTGTGGTGAAAGGGGAATTCTTCTACACAGTTGGTGGGAATGTAAATTGGTCCAACCACTGTGGAAAACAGTATGGAGTTTCCTCATAGACCTACAAAAAGAACTACCATATGATGCAATAAATCTACTCCTGGGTATGTACTCAAAGGACAGGAGAATGTTCAGTTGGAAAAGTGCTTGCACACCTATGTTTACTGCAGTATTATACACAATTGTTAAGATGTGGAACCAACCCAAATGTCCACAGACATATTAATGGATTGAAAAAGTGTGGCACATAAACTCTATGGAATATTAACCAGCCATGAAAAGAACTACAAGACCCTGACATATACTAGAAAGTGGATGAATAGGGAAGAACTTTTGCTGAGTGAAGCAAACCAGGTTATGAATGAGACATTGTATGTCTCCCCTTAACATATACTGACTATCCCCACTACATGGTAGAGATTGAAAGATTAGAGGACATAAAAGCATTGAAAACAGTTATGGACACTGGAGTCAGTGTGGAAGGAGGGTGGGAGAGGGGAAGATCATTGTGAAACAAATTGGAGAGAAAAATAGAGAAACAAGAAATTTGTTGGACACAGAAATGGTTTATGAACTGTTAATGATAACATTTATAGTATCTTCACCTAAACTTATCTGAAGTTTATTTCATGTTAGATAAATTCACCTTACAAACTAAGTGAGGTATAGTATTTGATAGTATTTGAATGTATAAAATAAATTTTTAAAAAGTGGTCTTTTTTTTTTTTTTAAGAGAGAGAGAGATTTTTGCTGTAGGGCATGTGAACTCAACAGAAAGACAGAGAGAGAGACAGAAAGTGAGAAATCACTCCCTAGGGAGGATGGTCACACTGCAATCCCTTCTCCTTCATTCTCCTCTCAGGATTTTGGGCACACACACACATTAACCTGGTGTGAGTTTAAACCACTGGGTCTGGGACTTGAACCACTGTTGACTATATGGGAGTCCAGTGATATAGGCATCATGCCAACTGCTGGTCCCAAAAGATTGGTATTTTAAAAGCATGCTGATCTCTCTCTCTTTTTTTTTTTTCTTTTTTTGAGAGGTTTTTGCTATAGGGCACGTGCACTCGCCAGAAAGACAGAGAAACAGAGAGACAGGAAGCAAGAAATCACCCCCCAAGGGGGATGGCCATGCCACAGTCCCTTCTCCACCATTCTCCTCTCGGGATTTTGGGCAGGCACTCACACGCACCAGGTGTGAGTTTTAAGCCACCGGGTCTGGGACTCGAACCATGGTCGACTTCTGTTACAGAAAATAACACTTTTATACAACTGGTATTTAATTCTTTAATTTTTTAGAACAGAATATCTAAATACTCCTTTTTCTCTAGACAGGCATCTTGACAAATTATCTGCTTTTCTAAGAGTCATCATTAAATTTCCTCAAAGTGGCTGTCAAATGTTATTAGTAGTAGTAAAAACGGAAATCACATGGTAAATTAACCTTTTCGATGATGACGATTTTTCATATACATTAACTTGTCTTAATGAGAAAAATTGACTAAAGTACTTGTTCCCTGTGAATAAAGATATTTTACACATAAAGTTTGGATTTAGGTATGTTTAGTTAAAATACAAACTTATTTATAAACTAGATAGGATAGTCTGAGCTTAGATGCATTGTAAGTAGTTTTGCATTTTAACATCAAACCACAGTACATGTCCACAATTTTTAAAAAATATACTTCAAGAACACTTAAGTCTGAAATATTTTTTTCCATGGATCATTTTAATATATGCTTTAGAATCCATTTCTGTTCTCAGTATAAATGTTACATAGAGGGAATAGGCCACCGTATATAAAAATACATCAGTAAAGATAAAATAGCTAGAGGTAAATATGATCATTGTGTAAATACTTATTGACAGTGGATGCATTTTTAAGAAACATATAGATTTTGTCAATTTTTTACCTCTCTGTGTTTTGTAATTCCTTTCTTAGATGTATTATAGTATTTCATTCTACATTAGGAAATATTTATCTGATATGTCTATGTATCTTAAAATTTAACCCCCAATGGTAGAATTCTCTTAACAAATATAAAATTACACATACACCTAATATAGAAAAGACTTTTTTTCCATTTTGCTTGATTCTGTTCATCTTGAGAAGCAAAGATGTTCATTATGTCATATTCGAATAAAATACTTCCAAATGTATCAGGTGTCCAGTGCATATGATGGTTGTGAAGAATATTTACCTGCCAGGGATGAATCATAGGCTGGTCTGCATCTTCTGGAGGTCCCATTTCTATTTCCTTCAAGACCATCTTATGAAGGATTTGGGCCATCATATATACAGCATGACAGATTAAAAAGCTGAACTTAGAAATGGTGATAATGTTTAATTCAAATGGCATAAACTCTAAGGAAGAATTTGGTGCACAGTGTCTAATTTTTCCACATAGTGATAGATCAACTGAGCAGTTAAAAAAGGAAGTCCATAATTCATGTAAGTAAAAGTCTTCTGGGTATTGGAAAGGGCTGACTGTCTTGAGAAATTTCTTAAAGCCAGGAATTCTCCTTTCCCACTTTGAAAATAAGAGGCTTCCATGGAAAAGGTATGGCTGGTCAGATTTGGCAGACAAAAGTCTTCTCCACTGTAATGAGCTGAAATTTCTCAGGATCCACACCTTCCCCAAAATTAAATAGAATTCCTCTAAGATTGCCAGCTTCCAGACACTATTTTCATCACCAAGTACTATATACACATTTGCAGATGAAACTCTGATTCTGGTCCTAATATCATGAAATGTTTTGACACCTGACCAAGGAGGGAGCACTTCTGTGAAGGCTAAACAGATATGCCTTTTTATCATCTCTGCATTTAGAACCTGAAGGAACTGCTCTCCTTTCATATCATCAGATACATAGAGTGCCACCCATGTCCAACCAAAATGCATCAACAACCGGATTATTCCCTGAGCCAGAGAGCTGTCATTGGTGG